GGTATGTGGGGGCGTGTTAGAACGAGCCGTTTTAGGTAGGCGTGGTTGACTCTTAACTTTTATAAAGAATATCTCTTTGGATTTGAGACTTTAGTCTTTGCAACTTTACAGATCTTCTTTATTCACCAAGAGCTTGTAACACGCCAAAGAGAAAGGAAAAATTGAAATCGCATCACATGACCCCTTTAAAATGTATTAAAAAAAGAAAACAATTTTTAAATTGTAGCAATATTTCACAACATTACCGTTATTGCAATATTTGTAATCAAATAAATTTAACATAAGAGACTTCTTTTGAAATCATTTAAAACAAAAAATTCTTAATTATTTTAAACTTTGTATAATGTTTTGTGATTCTAGAACTCTAGAACTGAAACACTCTACATAAGTTACAGAAATAAGATGCAAGTTTAACATTTTAAAAATATTTTCACTTAGGTTTTTGATCAGAGTGCCCTGTCACATGAGGCAAAGGAAGAAATGTATAAGCTGTACCCCAACGCTAGAAGAGCTCACCTCAAAACAGGAGGAAACTTCCCATATCTGTGCAGAAGTGCAGAAGTCAACCTGTACATACAAGTGAGTTTCAAGTTGTTGAAAGGAATATTTCAACCAAAAATTAAAATACTGTGATTATTTACTCACCCTCATGTTGTTCCGACCCCAAATAACTGACTTTCTTCTGTGGAACATGTATGAAGAAAATTTGACATGCTCATTTTCCTGCAATTATAGTAATCCAAAGCTTTAAAAGTTCAAAAAGAAGCAAGTAGTCAGACTTGTGTCTGAATCTTAGCCATATGATAGATTTTTGTGAGAAACAGAGTAATTTGTTATTTGCTAAAAATCAGTTCTTGAATAAATTGTTCTTTTGATTCACAAACTCACGACTCAATGATCAGACTGCAATAGTTAACGACTTTTTGGAATTAGATTCTCAGTGAATAAAGACGGCCTGTTTTAAAGACATAAGGACCAGTTTTATGATGCTAAAGCTTGACATTTTCAGTGAATAGTGATTAAAAACAATGCAATCATGTTGTGATTTCAGGGGCTTAATTTGCATTGCTACTCTGCTTTTACTCCGTAGATACACCTGCGTCAGTTTCATGGGACACGGTACGCCGCTATCAGTCCAGAGATGGTCAGTGCAGAGGAGCTGGAAGTGCAGAGGACAAATCTGAGCAACAACCGTAAGAGTGACAATGAATCGTAGAGAGACCAACAGGCTTCATACAAGCATCTTCTGAATGTTGACTAGATGAATCGGGATCTGAATTTAACCCGTTTCAGCTACACAACATTCAGAGATCACGTTCCGGTATTCTGTTTTTCTATGACCTTAAACTCAGTCAAATGTGAATGGACTTTAAAGAGCCTATTTTTACTTTACGGAAAATAAACAATATTTTGTTAAGTATTATGACTGTAAATAAGTGAAATTTATTACATGGTAAGAGTTTTCATAGAATGCCATATTTTGACCTGGTTGCCTTACACAATATAAAATGCACGTATTTGTTAAATTTAGCACTTTTTACTGCTTGAACTTAATTTTCTGCCTTTTTTACGTTGGTGTTATTTTTTTGTTATGTACTTGGTTTGTTTGTATGAATGTTGTCAATGTTATTATGTCTGTTGGAGTCATGCACTGATATAAACCGAAACTCGTTTCAACACAAGATTGTATAAATCTCTTACCTTTTCCAAGTGACCTATCAGGAGTCTTTGATTTGGAAACAAATGTAAAAGTGTCATTATTTACTTAAATAAACGCCGTGTAACCGCAAAAGACAGGTATTGATCATTATTATAGATTTACAACAATTTATTACACGTTCTGCGTATGTTAAACTCTCACCTGCCAATTATGTTCACTAAATCATTACCATACAATTAAAACACTGCTATGGCTACACAATAAAAATTATTCATATCTTATTAAAGTGTTTACATAAGAATCAGATTAATGAATTGGGCATTACAAATTTATGGCATGCAAATAAATTCATGTCTCTACCAGAGTAGGCCAGATTATTATTTGTTTTAGACCATCACCTAAATAATGCATCTCAATAAATTAGAATGTCATGGAAAAGTTCATTTATTTCATTAATTCAACTCAAATTGTGAAACTCGTGTATTAAATAAATTCAATGCACACAGACTGAAGTAGTTTAAGTCTTTGGTTCTTTTCATTGTGATGATTTTGGCTCACATTTAACAAAAACCCACCAATTCAGAACAACAAATTAGAATACTTCATAAGACCAATAAAAAAAACATTTTTAGTGAATTGTTGGCCTTCTGGAAAGTATGTTCATTTACTGTACGTGTACTCAATACTTGGTAGGGGCTCCTTTTGCTTTAATTACTGCCTCAATTCGGCGTGGCATGGAGGTGATCAGTTTGTGGCACAACTGAGGTGGTATGGAAGCATAGATTCTCTATGGGGTTCAGGTCTGGTGAGTTTGCTGGCCAGTCAAGCACACCAACACCATGGTCATTTAACCAACTTTTGGTGCTTTTGGCAGTGTTGGCAGGTGCCAAATCCTGCTGGAAAATGAAATCAGCATCTTCAAAAAGCTGGTCAGCAGAAGGAAGCATGAAGTGCTCCAAAATTTCTTGGTAAATGGGTGCAGTGACATTGGTTTTCAAAAAACACAATGGACCAACACCAGCAGATGACATTGCACCCCAAATCATCACAGACTGTGGAAACCTAACACTGGACTTCAAGCAACTTGGGCTACGAGCTTCTCCACCCTTCCTCCAGACTCTAGGACCTTAGTTTCCAAATGAAATACAAAACTTGCTCTCATCTGAAAAGAGAACTTTGGACCACTGGGCAACAGTCCAGATCTTCTTCTCCTTAGCCCAGGTAAGACTCCTCTGACGTTGTCTGTGGTTCAGGAGTGGCTTAAAAAGAGGATACGACAACTGTAGCCAAATTCCTCGACACGTCTGTGTGTGGTGGCTCTTGATGCCTTGACCCCAGCCTCAGTCCATTCCTTGTGAAGTTCAC